AATGAGGTAGAGATTGAATCTCAACTCTGGATGCATCTGTCAGCACAGCCCTCCTGTGGCTGCCAGCCTGCAAGGGGCTGTATGGCCTTTGTTAACAGTTAGTGCTCAGCTTGTCCCCCCCATTGCCACTGATTAACTCCCCAAATCTTCAGAAAGCATGCGGCTTCAGCAAAACTTGAAGACATGAATGAATGCCATGAGCACAGTGCTAAGAATCAATGACGCTGACATCAGCCAGCATGCAATAGCCAGTGTTTACAAGAGGCCTGAGTGAGGGGCACACGGTCTCAAGCTAATCCTGGAGGCAGGAAGATGGCTGACTCCTGGCTATGGGATCTGGGAATTTCAATCTCTTGAGGATGGACCAACACGGCTTGTTTCGTCAGCCCTCTTAGGAGTCATCCTTTTCTCTGTAGTTAGATGGAGTGGAAAAATGTATCTTGGCGTTACTCAGAGCACGATGCTGAACCCACAGTTGGAATAAAATAAAAACATGGAAACTGATATTTTGTCCCAGGATGAGAAATAACCCTGGAGGCTAAGTTGAGCCAGTTTCTTAAAATGAGGCTAACACATTTACATGTTTGAGTCAGACTGAGACTTTCCTTAAGAAATCAATTAATTAAAGCAACACTCAGGGAACTCCTCAGCAGATCTGTGGCTAGAACACCCTGTGGTTCATCAGCTTGCAACTTCCATTTCCTCGGGTTGCAAAGAGGGAGGATGAGGAAGGACCAGGGAGTCAAGGCCAGTCTCCGAGAGCCAGAGCTCTCACAGGCAAAGTGTGAAAGCACCCTTCACACAAGGCCATGTTTTGAGAGTATAGAAAGCTGAATGAGGCCTTTCCTCTGTGGGGACTTCTCACGTTCCATGGGCAAAATGAAAATACTATTTGACAGCTGGATGGGAGTCAAAGGATGTGGGTGTCTGTCCAAGGTACCATCTTTACAAGATAAAATACAAGCCAAGGCAAATGGCCTTCCCATGGAAATGCTTTTAAACTTTTTAGTGTGAAATAAAATTAACCCTCCATACATAATCCACATCCCGAACATCTGGATTGCCACTTGAGTGGCAGAGGTAAGCTGATCTCTGAGGTTGAGGTCAGCCTGGTCTACATAGTGAATTCCAAGCCATCCAAGGCTGCACAGCGAGACCCTGTATATAAAAACAAACAAACAAACAACAACAACAACAACAACAACAACAACTGTACCTCAGCTCAGCAGTCTCTCCTCACTGTGACAAACAGGGTAACTCTTTGTTCTCTGCCATGATGGTTTGCTTTACCTTCAAGCTTCATCCCTAATGACATCCACTCACTGTCCCTCATATTGCTACCACGAAAACATTACCACCACAAACAAGGCATCTTTCTAGGGCCGGCCCAGGCTCTGTCTGCAGCCACGCCTCTTAACTCCTCCTCTCCATTGCCTGCTGGTCTCCAGAGCAGGACAGGCACGGTGACCTTGAGTGAACTCACTGCCGTCCATCAGGATGAGTGACAGCGGAGGGAGGGTTGCCATGGTCAATCTCACTGAACAAAGATGGCCCTGCTTGGCTGTATCTTTGTCACTGTGGCCTTTCTGTGGGAACAAGGGGACATGTGGTCCCCGGCAGGTTCAGCTGGGCACCCTTCTTTCTCTAAGGAGGAGTACTGAATGGAGACACAGGTGCTAAAACACATGCAGAACTTTCCAGAGACTAGTGCTGGAGGGGCAGGGGAAGGAGAGTGACCCCATAATGGGCATGTTTATTTCTTGGGGTGATGAAAATGTGGGGGCAATGATGACCCCACTCAGGGCAAACTAAAAACTCCAGAATCATACACTTGGAAAATGGGACGAGCTTTATGGCTGTCACATCTTTATGGCTGTCACATGCTCTGTACGTCAGGAAGGCTGGGGGCGGCTCCTCTCCTCCCCAGCCTTTCAAAGACCACATGCAGCTTTTGTTTACAAAGACGGTTGCACATCCTTTAAAACTAAAGGGAATGGTGGTTGTCTTCCCAAAAGGCTTCCCTGCATCCTGACTCAGGAGGCTCAGGGCTGCTGAACATTTCTGATAGCACCTCAGCTCGCTGCCAACACCTCTGCTTCTCACAACGAACATGAGCCTGTGAGCGCCACTGTCTCATTAACCCTGGCCCAGTACCCACCATGGGGCCTGGTGTCAGAGCTTCAGAAAAAAGTTCAGTAATTTTTAAAAAGTTACACACACACACACACACACACACACACACACACACATATTCACAATGCATGATCTTGAGCTCTAGCACCATAAAAAATTTAAATGTTTTTGTAAACAACATATATGATGAAATAATGCATATTACTTTAATAAGTGTTTTGCAACAACACCAAGCTCATGAAAACAGTTCATCCAAAAGGGAATTAACTTCTTCATTAGGTTGCATTAAAAATATAGAAGTTCATATTTTCATACTGAGCATCTATAAATTTACTAGAAATAAGTATAAAAATCAAAATACTATATTTATATAAACAGTTTTGTTTTGCATTGGAGATATGGTTTCATGTAGCCCAGATTGGCCTTGAACTCACTACAGAGCTGAGGATGACTTTGAACTCCTGATCTTCTCCTTACCCTGGGGCAGTGAGGCTTGGACTTCCACAAGCTGGGAAAGTGCTTTACCAGTAAGCTGCACCCCAGCCACTCTCTGACATCTCTCTTTATTCTCTTGCACGTACATGCTCTTTTCAGAGCAAAGCACGGCACACGTGAGACAGGGACTTTGCTGCTCTGAGGTCCCCTGGGGAGTGCTGCATTTTCACCCTTCTCTTAAAGCTTCTATTTAGAGCTTTGGTAAGTCAAGGGTTACAGATCCAAACTCCCAGAAAGGCTGTCAACTGCAGAGCATGAAATTAACCCAGAACATGGCTGAAGGGTGAAGAAACAGCATCTGTCTCCAGGAGAGGAAATGGAGCCATGTGACAGGCATGACAACTATGTGTCTACAGACGTTCCTAATGTGGTGTTGGCGTTGAACCCAGGGCCTTGCGCATGCTCGGAAGCACTGCACCACCGAGTTGCACTCTCAGCCCATTACATATTTTATGCCTTCAAAGTCTGCATCCTATGCATCATTTCTTTCTTTCTTTCTTTTTTTTTAAAAGATTGATTTATTTATTATGTATACAGTATTCTGTCTGCATGTATCCCTGCAGGCCAGGAGAGGGCATCAGATCTCACTACAGATGGTTGTGAGCCACCATGTGGGTGCTGGGAATTGAACTCAGGACCTTTGGAAGAGCAAACAATGCTCTTAACCTCTGAGCCATCTCTCCAGCCCATATATATCATTCTATACAGAACGTGTCTGATTTTTCAAAGAAGTTGGAAATGAGGAAATTGAGACTTTTATATAAAAGATGTGATTTTCAAATTCTGGCTTTCTTCAAAATTTAACACAGGGCAAGCTCCAAAACACCACAGCTGCAAGCCACATCTGGCTCATAGGCTAACAGGCTTATTATCGCTCACCTCCAAAATTATAGGGGATCCAGAGCTAACCTAGTGAAGGGAACTTTAAAAAAAACCCACTCAGGCTCACAGAGAAGCTCTGTCCTTCCTGTCCAGACTATTGTCACCAAGGCTGACAGGGGACTTCTTTTCCTCTGCCTTTTCGAGAAGGCTATGACCAGCTGAGCCACTAAAATGCAGACTAACCGGATGTGATCAAGGGCTGAGGCCACTACTCTGACATCTGCTCTGTCTCTAGAGTGAGCCAGACGGAAATCTCTGCTTCAGCTCTTCTGAGTGGCTAAAGAAGTTAACTCTGTCGCTGGCAAAGCCTCTTGCCATCTGTGATGTCAGAGCTGCTGAGATCGGCAGGCTCCTCCTCAGGTCCCAGAAGCCACCACCAGCAAAACATCCTGAAACCTGCCTGGGACCCCAGTCTCAGTCCAGGGGACAGTTTCATCTCTCAGGGCTCTCCAGAGATGCTATTCACTGCCTGGCTCTGAAGATGAGGGACTCTCCAGCTTCTAAGTGCCAGACATCAGTGAAAGACCACATCTGCTTAACACCCCAGCATCCAAACAAGTTGAAGAAAATTTGCTTTCAGCTGTAAGCCAAGTGCTAGAGGCAGACTGCCTTGTTTCCTGGGTGCCCCTGTCAATCTCACCCCAACCTGCTCATGAGTCCAAGCAGCTATACTCTGGTTTTCCCAATGGTTTCTTCTACTCAGAGCTCATCCCACCTCTCCAAACAGCAGCCCTTATTCCACTGGCTGGCTAGGACTGGTCCAGGCCGGTCACTCCCCGACTACTTGGGGTCTCCTCGGTGGTGTGGAGAAGCAGTCTTTGGGGTGTTTATCAATGACCAGGACTCATGACTGCAGCACTGAGCCAGGTCTGCAGAATCTGGGATGGCAAGGGTTCCCTGCACAGCCAGGGAAGTGCTGTGAGGGCTTGGGTCACCTTATGACCTCTTCAGGGGAAAGCCATGGCTGAGATGCTGTCCTCATTCTCAGTCACCCATTTTGAGGAACTGTGGTCTTCACTGCCCCCTGTGTCGGTCCCTCATTCAGGGTGGGGACCTGCATAACTCCCAGGCCAGGCAGGGCCATTTCACAACAGGCCAACGTTGGTACCTAAGACTGACCAGGCTGTCAACAAGTGGGCCACGCTTTCTCTGATGACACAGCCAAAGCCCAAGGTCCTCACTGACTTGTGTTTTCACAGACACCTTAAAGACCGTTCTCCAACAGCTGTACTCAAGCACACCTTCCAGAAACACAAGGGATGCTCAGAAATCAGGGCCCTCAGCTCACTCTGCCATGATTTAGTGCTTTCGGCAGCTACAGGGCAGACACCTTGGCACGACAGGGTGTGCCACTGATAACCAAGGTGCTACCTGCTCTCAGGAAAAAAAAAAAAAAAAGCTAAAATTAACCACTCTATCCCCTTTCACAAAGGCAAGAGTCTGGCAGGTTGTAAACCTCGGTCCTCGGGACAGAAATGCTGTGTTCTTACCTCTGCAGCTTGGGTCTCTTGATGGAGCAGTGTAAGTCCAGTCAGGTCTTCTAAGAAGGAATGTGAGGAGTTAAACACCTTCGATAGGAAGGCAAATCCTTCCCGCTCGTATTGATCGAGAACCTGCAAAACATTGGTCCTTTTAGAAAGGGAGTTAGAGCTGTTAGATATGCATTAAAAGGTTCTTGTTTCTAACAATCACATGTTTAAAACAGGGAGGTGGCTCAGCAGGCAGAGGTGGCTATCACCAAGCTTCATGACCGGAGTTCGATCCCCAGGGCCCACAGGGTGGAAGGAAGGAAC